TAATAATAATCCTCAGTTCAGGTGAAGCTCTGAGTCACTGATCTCTCTGGCAAACAGAAACAACTATCATTCCCATTCACAATGTGTAGGGAGTAGGGATCGATTGTGAACGTCTCATTGCACTGCTATTTCACAGTATGCCTCGAGGCCAGTGAGTCATCTATGACATTCCTTTGCAACACAAAAAAATGCCTATTATAATGGGAAAGGTAATTTACGTCGCACTTATGTGACCTCTTCTAATACCACTGAGATCAATACAGCAGTGTGATAGGTAAACAGAGAGGTAAAAGGCAAATAAAATACTTGTGACTGTTGAGCAGCTGCCCCAAATAACTAAATGTTCTGATCATTTAGGCGTATATCCTGCAACTGTCCAACTTTATCTCCATCAGTCAAAGACGCTGTGGATCACAAAAGCTCTCGCAGCCCGGCTGTGAAAATAGACAGATCAAGATCAACACAAAACACTATCTTCCTGTCGCTCCCCACAAAGAATGCCAGGTATGTTCACAATTCAAAAACGTAGGAAACAATCTAACAAATATTTGTCCCGCGCACTTTGGGGACAGGCATCCGCAGGGCACTTATCTGAAGGCAAATCTGAAATCTCTGCAAATCCGCCTCCCCATCCGCTTTAAACAGGTGAAGAAGTAACAATGTCAGACGCCTGGCTTTGTTGACACTGTCAACTCAGGAGCGGTAATCAAAACAGAAGCAAGGAGCGAGTAAAAACAAGAACTGACAACTGCAGTCCCACATGAACGCACAAAGAAGACCTCATTTATCACAAGCCCAGTGTCTGTTTTGAATGGGCTGAGATTTAGAGCTGCAATGTACTTCAACTTTCACTGGCCTGAACTTGTGACACTGAAACTGAAGAATGTGTCACTTGCACAAACACATTCCTCTTCATATAAACAGAAGGGTTTGTTGTTGTTTTATTGCAGAGGAATAAAAGATACTATGGATTTCAGCAGAAATACAACTAGGGTTTGACTGATATGGATTTTTGGAGTGTTTGTTTTTCCCCAGAAGCTGACAATATTTTGTACATCTCTCAGCCCGCATGCTCACTGAACATGAGCATGTGGGTTGGCAATCCACCTTGAGATCAGCATCTGACCCACATGTGTAACGTGTGATTTTGAAGGTGCAATACAATATTTACAGGGCATGTTGTGCTCTCCACTGCTAATTGTCGCTCAACTCTTGTACCTTGAATTTAGTCAATTCACAAATTAGCCGCTTTTTTCATAATGGATTAATAATTTTAATTTTTCAAGCAAAAATGCCAAACATTTACTAGGGATGCTTCGATTTATCGGCTGCTGTCTGTCTGCATCCTGCTGGTAAATACGATGACAGTCACAGATGGTAGTGGATGGTGTTTTTCTGTTGTGTCACATCACCTTTGCACAGGCTAAAAAGCAGGGCTCGAGAGTAACAGTCACAAACTTAAATTAAAGAGCAGGTACAAGACGAATACAATGACTGTTTGGCAAATGGGCCCTGTGATCTCACTCCTCTCACAAACAGAGATCTTTCCCATGATGCCTTCAGGACAAAAAGATGCAGTGAACTCACTATCGTCTCATCAGAAAATACACTCTATTGTTGGGTGATAACACTACATTGTGAACAACAAATCCCTGTTAAAATGGGCAGGAGGAGAGCTAGTTAATGTTAATTTTGTAGCTTGAATGAATTCAGTTGTTTGAAGGTGAAATATGTTTTTGCAGCAATATAAAACAGATATTAAAGAGGGAATTATGATATAGCAAATGGGCTATGGAAGATTTGTACTTGTTCAAAGGTAGTGTAATGAAGGGCTATATTAAAACAGCTCAGATACTTTCTGTAGTGTAAATTTCTTTGTTGTTCCTGGCATAAAAAGGCGGAATAAATAACAGCAAAAACAAAATAACCCACTATCTACTATCTGTCAAATTGTTATTTTAAATATCGGTATCAATATCGGCCCAGAATTTCAAAATCAGTGCATCCCTAACATTCAGCTAATACAGCATTACAAATGTAGGAATTTTCAGCTCTTTTTTTGAGATATATGATAGTAAAGAAATGCCTTTGGGTTTTGAACTGCAGGTCGAACAAAACAAGTTGTAATGATTATTTCCACAGTTTTCCCCCTGACCTGGAAAATAATTTTCTTTTCACTCCTCTTCTCAACAACAAAACTGAAATTTTAATGCAGTTCTTACATGCCATCTGGTGCCTCCCTCAGAATAATGGGAACCAGAACTACGTTTTTAGACAATATTACGCCTCTTCGTTAAACTGACTACACATTTTAGGCTATTCTTGAACCTTTAGCAGCTGTCTCAGTTAGGTGCCTCTGCACTGCTCAGCACTCACCTGAGACCACAGATGTTGACAGGTGAAAATCTCACCCCTAAAAAAAGTTCATATCTCTCCTACAAGCTCCAATTTGCTAGTTTACACCTCAACTGCAATCAAAATTCAATGTCTGTCCTTACTCATCAGAGCCTCTGTGCTCAATGCTCATTAACAGGTGGCAAGTTCATTTTTGAAATAGAAAATTAAACACAATACTGATACTGGTATATTTTATGTGTTATTTAATGCTGTAGGCTATCATTTCAATACCAATTTTAATTTACAAAGGCAAAGTGATACTAATATTTGAAACATGTCTCCAATAAAAAAATATTACTGGTATAAAAGCGTGGTATAGACAGCTCTGTTGTGTAATACACCAGCTAACACATGCCCACTCTGGATACTGTTAATAGTTCATCATGGGAAAAATATGGGTGATCAGTTTTTGTTTGTTTGCTTTCCTAAGGGATGCACGATAACATCGGCACGTCATCGGTATCAGACGATATTGGCAGACTCGGCCAACATGCTTCTTCTCATTTTGCACAATGAATGAATATTACATACACTGGAAAGTATTGTATTTCCTGTCTCTTTCTGGTGGGCCATCACCATAATAGTATGCATGCATAATATGATGTTAATGCCGCTACAAAAGTGACCTGATGATCACTAACATTAGGTAGGGATAAAGGCGGATATATCGACATCAGTATTGGTTATCAGTCAAATGAGTTGTTACATACTGGCATATCTTATATCGTCAAATAATCCAATATTGTGCATCCCTTTTTCCCATTTTTTCTCTAAACATTCTCACCTGGGTCAGCCTACTGTTAAGACCTGTAGGTTGAAGACAGGTCTTTGATGGAAAAGGAGGACGAGGCAGGATGAACCCCTGCACCGGTTTACAGGTAGGGTGAGGTGAAATTCAAGGAATAAACACCTTTAAAGAGGCAACAGATAGCATCTTTTCCTAAATATATCATTATGAAAATAATGTGGGTTGCCCAAGGTAGTGGCCACAGTAAAATCAGACTATCAGCGTTTACATAGGTTACTTAGTGGCTGTGCAATAAGCTTCTGCCACCGTTGCCAAAATTTCGCGGAAAAAATCTGCTTTACGGCAGGAAACGCGACACACATCACTTTACTTTAATGCAGTCTTTACAATGAGGGAAAAAACACCATTTATGCCATATCATACTGCAACGATATCCAAAATCTAATACAACATAGTCTTATATCTTGATAATGATGTAATATCTTCATAATGCCCAGTCCTAACTCCAATCAGGTTGATTTTTTTAATTACTTGGCAAATCAGTTTCACTCACAGGGGCACTAAATATACACTTTACCGCACAGATTTCCACTTAGTGACAGTGTGATGAAAGAAATTCAGCAATTAATGTCTGACCTAGTAGGAGGGCAACAGTAAAACGTCTTTTCTTTCCACTCATCCCCATTCATTCCCTTATTAAATTAACATTTAGGGTGATATGATCATACACCGTTACGACTCTACAGAATGAAGTTGTTGAATAATAACAGCTGCTGGGAACGTAAAACTGAAATAGGAACTTTCCTGCACTGTATATGGGAATGTAGTTTGGTCAGACCACTCTGGGTTAGAGTATTAGAAATTTTGACTTGTTGGGTTGGTTCAAAAATCCCTTTAAGTCCAAAGTTGTGTTTACTGGGGGGTCAGTCACAAATACAAAAAACCTATCCAAGTGTGTATTATCTGTTATTACTGTGGGTCTAATAACTGTCTGCCGAGTTATCATAAGACACTGGAGGAACTGAAAGACTGGGTTAATGCAATGGTGGAAATAGCATCGTATGAATGTATCAGGAGAAAGGGACTCATCAAAATGGAAGATAAGCCTACATAATTATGAATTTGCTATGTGGTTATGTGACCCTGTAGATTGATGTATGAGGACATATGTGTGTGTCTTTAATATGTTTCTTTATCTACTGTAGTCCACCTCTGTATTATAAAAACAACACCTTGTAAATAATATAAGTATGCCATGTGCCTAGCCTTTCAAACCAATAAAAACTTGAATTATGTATTTTAAAATATCTCTCTAATGAAGCCATCTCCCACTGGTTTCCTCTAAAGCACCCTGAGGTGGTCCCTGGACCCCTATATGTAACTTAAACGCTGCCTATCCCGTTTCGTAAACACTGACAAGTTGCCTCATAGTTTGGGCTTCTAACCAAACCAGGTGTTCGCTAAACTAACTTTTTAACAAACCCAAACACAAGCAGCATCCACAGTCTGCACACACGGAGCTGTTCCCTTGTATTTCAGCCCTCAGTCAAGTTATGACAGCAGCAGCTAGTTATGTTGCAACGTTACCAAGTCAGCACGCAGTCGGTAAATAGCGCTAACATTCAATACGGTGTAACGTACCAACGGCTAGCGAACTTCTTCGCATCCCTGGACGTTGGCTGCATGTTGTTTTACATTTTGTGCTAACTCCCAGAGCCGTTAGCTCCTTCGTGAAGACACGACATTCCCCTGCTGTACAAAGTGGAACTTGGCAGCCGAAGGAAACTGACGAGACTTGTGGCTGAGACACTTTCAATTTAGGAAAAAAAGCAGCCCTTAGCAAACTTTTCCGTACCTTTCTGACGAAGAGTATCTCCCCGCCGGTGCTACCACTTCCTGGCAGACATAAATCCCGGTTTTGACACCGTCGTCCTCGGCAGGAGTAACGAGAATCCGAGTGTGTGTAGCTCAACTCTTGCCCGTGCCAGTGATTTCTCGCACACAGCTCCTCTCTGCGTGGCTCCGGTAACAGCCGCTGCAGTTTTTTCCACCAGCCTGGAGCGGGAGCGCGCGCACCGGGATACTGGGCAGGCCAGGAGAAGCGCGTGAGCGCGCAATTTACAAGGCACTCCAAAGCGTCTGTGGAAATGTGGAGATCCACTCAAAGGATTCACACTGTTTGTCATGCATTTGTAATTTAAAAATAAAATATGATTTTGCAATTTATTTGCAGCTTTTACGAAAGTGATAGAATGTAAAAAAAAAAGTTTAAATGCTACTTTTTAACTGGATGATGGTCCTCAGCATCAGTGTCGTAAGGAAGTTATTATGGGCCCCAGTGCACGCTATAATGATGGGCCCTTACACAGTTATTCTGGATACAATTTATAGAATGGTTGAGTAGGAAAACTTAGATCATCTGTATTCTTTTTGGTTTGCCATTAACAGATACAAAATTGGACCTGATGATCAATGTTTTATTTATTGTTGCCATTTTTTTTACTCACAAAGCTAAATTAATCACGAAACTAGTCCATACTCATTGAGTTTGCCGCACAGTTGCCCACATACAATTTCACATGGTGTGTGTTTGAGATACAGGTCATAGATTAAATAGTCAACTGAACCCATGAAGAAGAGCAATGTATTCAGACAGAGTTTTTGTGAATTTGATAGTACGATTGCTTTATTGAAAGTACAGTAGTACCATTGCCAATAGTGGGATAGTTAGTGGGCTAAACTGTACATTAGTAGTTGAGGTAGCACGGTGAAAGACAGATAGTTAAAGTGTTTATATGTTGTATTGACTTAAAAGTGGGGCGCACTGGTAGTTCACATGGGAAACATAGATTGACCACGTCAGTGAGTAGAAAAATGTGGGACAGACAGAATGACTGACTGACAGAATGACACACTGACAGTGATTATGTAGCCTACAGCATACCA